AGGCATTTCTTTTAAAACAATCATGCATTTAATTTATACAAAGATAACTTGATTTCTCTAGAGAGAACAGGATATAAATCAGTTATACTAGAAAGAGGTCCAACTGAGATAAAAAAAAACTCAACACAGTGAAGGTTGCTTCAAAAGATTTTAAAACATTCTTTAGATGCTATAGAGAAAATTGACCTCAGCAAACTGTTACACATTCTAATGACACCTACTTTCAAGCTGATACAGCTAATTTGGAACTGACAATTATTTTGCTGTGCAGACAACAGAAAATTGTGGCTTCTTATTCAATAACATCTATATGTGCATGCTTTTGTAAACATTTGTAAAAAATTTTTTTTACAACAATATCCCTGAATAGTTTAACTAAAACTAAGTTTGTGGAGTGTAGGAATAGTTGGTATGAAAATTCTGAAATTTGAAACCAGTTTTGCAGATAATTTGATTTACTTAAAAAATAGAGTTTGCTCAAATACTGTTTTCAGCATACAGATTATTATTGGTTTTTGATTAAATTATTGCTTTGTTTTAAGCAAATATTGAACTGGCAAGAAATAAGTTAATCTGAATAATTTGGCTGAAGAATATTGAAAGCACTATTTTCTGTGGACTTTTCCACATTTTTAATTTAATTTACAATGGCCATGGTATACATTTTGTAAATTATTTTATCAGAATATAATTAAAGTTACTCTGCTATATTAATGAATTAACTTTTCTATGGGGAGTAAGCAATATTCTTTGATAGATTGTGTAATACATTTTTGAAATTAAATTAAGTAAGAATAGCAAAGAAATGCATATTTTTCAAGTTGGAATTTTGAACTAAAAAATGTGTAAAATTCAAAAGGTCTGTTTATATTTAATGACTAATAAACAAGCTGGATGTTGTATAACACTCTTCAATAGAAAATACTTGGTACAAAGTGCTGAAATGAAAAGCAATCACAAATTTGCTTTATTTGGATCGATTCATCCCAAAGATTATTTCAGAAAAATCACAAAAGCTCATCAGATTCGTTCTTCTTCAAATTATACTTTATTTTGCAGACAAGATTCTTGCAGCCTTTACAATTCCTTTAATATTGTATTCAAATCATTAATAATATTAATACTCAGTTCTTTTTTTATTCCATAATAATACAGTTCCCAAGTTTTTCTCTTAAAAGATGAACACCATTTAATATTGATTATATTAAAATTTATAGAAGAAATTGTGTAATAATTTAATTATATTTCAAATCAGAAGTTTAAGAGATTTTTAAATGCTTTTGATTGTATAAAGCACAATGTGTAAGATTACATTGAAAGTTTGCTTTAAAACTTTGTTTTATATTTTATCCATAATGCAGATAGATATGCCAAGCACTGCTAGAAATGAAAATTTTTCATATTTTGGCTTGTTGCCTAACTATTAATATATTGAGAAACAGACTTAAATGATTTGCAAGAATCAACATGCAATATCAAAGTAAAATTCCTTTCAAATTCATATATTGGGTCAAAAAATGCTAAAATATATCCAATACCTGCTACTCAGTTTTTGGGATAAAACCAACCATCAATACATTGGTGTTAAAAATGAATAATGATTTAGAAAATAAAATAAAATTTTTTTCTAGGGGAATAAAGATTTCATGTTTAAGTGTAAAAAATTTGTTTAGTTTCTTTGAAAGACAATTTTGTATATTTAAAAAAAAAAATGCTAATATTTAATACATTTATCCATAATATAAAAATTATAAATGTTCCCATAATTTGAAATATTATAAATGCTTAAAATTTACCTTTATAAAATTGAAATTACCTACGAGGAATAAGCTTAATTTTATTAATGCCAGCATCAAATTTAGTGTAATTTTTATACATATTTAATAAAAGTAAGGTTTTTCCAAAGATTTGTTCTTGTAAACTTGTCATGAGTTATAGTTAATATGCATAAAGTCATCCCCAATTTGCACATGTAAAACAAGAAGCAAATATTCTATTTTTAATTCTTTTTAAAATAACCTCCTAACTGCAATGAAACTGGTTGGTGGAGTACCCAATAAAATTAACCAATTACCAGCATTGGTATCAAAACAAGTAACATTGTTTGGCACACTGTAGCCAAATAAATAATTTTTAATAACAAATGATCCAACATTAGGGAATATATTCTAATCAATAAAATGATATCCAGGAATCAGAAATATGATTTGAATTCCAAAAGAAACATTTTTTTTTAACTTATGAAGGGTGAAATTAAATGGATTCACTGGATATAATTATAATAGTGTAATCAGCTCAATATAGATTTAGAGTGAATCATTTTAAAATGAACAAAGGCAAAAAATTTGATTCTGATTTCTGTAATAAAAAACATGCAACAAATGTTTGGATTTATTGAAATTTTTCCAAAAGTTCTGAGGTACAATAAAACTCTTGCATTTTAAAGAAATTTATTGCTCCAAGTTAAATTATTTATAATGTCCAAATGATATCAAAATATTAAACATTATAAATTATTAAATTTCAGAAGAAATCAAAAGGTTTGAGATTTTGTATAGAGAACACTTAACATACTGTAAAATGTACATCTAGAATCTAATTGCTTCAAGTGAGCAAAATTATAAATATATACTAAAATCAGATATCACTGTGCATCTATATAACATATAGAATGGATTTTCTATGGAATATTAGCTGCTAATGTGTGTCTTTGAGATGAGAATATAAAAAATAAGAAAACAAATATATTCATGTTCATGATTTTGAAGGAAACATTTTCTAATTTTGTAAGTATTTAAGAATTAAAATTTTATCCTAATAAATTATATCTAAAATATATTCTAAAATAGTTGTGCTAATTAAAAAAAATTTTAAATTTAAAATTTATTTAAATTTAGATAGGTATGTTATAATTTGTCAGCTAACCACACCCTAATCTTATAAAATATTTATTTTGATATTACCGGTTATGATGACATTTAAATAATAGAAAGGTTAAACTAATATTTTGGCATATAGAATTTATTATAATTTAGTAAAATTTTAATAAAAAGTATGAAGATGTCACTGAAATATAAGTTGGGCTTTATGTGAAAAGATAATGCAAAATATTAGCATTTAATGTTTAATATATAAAAAAAAAAATTGACAAGATAAAATAAATTAAAAAAATATTTGATATAAATTTTTTTAAGAAAATGAAAACCCAACCTAAAAATACATAACCCATATTCATTAACATGAAATTTCAACGATGAATCAGAGTAAAAAAAAAAAAAAAGAAGAAAAAAAATTGCTATAAAAAATCTAATAATATTTAAACTTAGTACTGAAACAGAATTTCATATTCAAAGATTAAAAGAAGCTTTTATAATCTAATTTAGTTCCTCATTTCTATTGTCAATATAACAAGTTGATAGGATTTAATTTTCAGTCATATGAAAAACTGTCATTCACAAGAGGAAATGTCTGCAGTTAGGGTGATAAAACTGCTTTAATTATCCAAGTAGCCAAAATCAACAAAAATCTAACTCTTCTAAATATGACTGAAAAACGGCTAAAGGACTTTGGAAAATATCACAAAACAAAAATTAGGCAATAGACTTAAACATCAAGGGAGATAATACCTGCTGTGATATTACAGGTCTGCAGCTCGTGTTTCAAACAATTTTTTAATTTCAAAACAGACGATAACTGTCTAACGAAACAGCTTTTTTTTTTTATCTGAGAAGACTGTTGGTCACATGAGTAACTAAGTTGTAAATGGGTTAATTTTCAAGAAAAACATCTGCATATATAAGCATCAATCAAATTATTTTATGGATTAAAAACCGTATGTGCTGTTATCCTCATAATTTATTATTATTGAAATTCAAGATAAATTTAAAACTGAATAACATAAAATAATTAAATGGCAGTAAAATTTGATTGTAAAATGACTAAGCATTATTTAGAAGTAAAATTGAGATAAAAACATAAATAATCTCTATTTTTATCTAAAAGCAATTTATGCTTTGCAGATATGAATTGTTTGTTCCTTTTAGAATAAAAATAATGGAAGCCAAAAATCACAGATTTCAAACAAGGCATAAAAAAGAAGCTGACTGAACTGAACCATTGTAAAAAACCAACCAACCATAAAAAAAGATTTGTCCTCATCATAAAAAAGGCTAATTGGTGTTTTATTTTTAAAGCACATAAAAAATCTCATTTTCAAATTGATTTTGTTGATCAACAAAAAATTGCAGAAAATAAATTTGAGATATTTCATACATTTTATACAAAGGCAGGAAGATATTTACTTGTAAATAGCTCACAAAGGGAAACAAGCTATGGCATAAAGAGAACAAACGGAAATCTTCAGCCCTTAATATGGAGGAAAAAAAAAAGGGCGAATTGGGCTCTTGTGCTGTGTACACCAACAAAAAGCATTACTTTAAACAATTCACAGGTAGCTATTCTGGAAGAGTTTCTTATTAATGCCATAACTCAAAGCCAGCAATGGATTTCTTTGTTTTCACTTTTATTCTGCATAATTTTAATCAGCACATATTTGTTTGTGAGATTGTTTGTGCAAGACACATTGAATACTCAGATAAGGGAAGATAACCAAGATTTTTTCTTATAAATTTTTCTTTAGATTTGTTTATTATATTGCTTACAAGATATGCTCATGTCTAAAAAGCTTAAATATACAAGCAAAAAGAATTCCATTCTTTTAAATTGAGGTGCTTAATACGGAGGAGGGGCATATATCAAGTATAAAATTCTTCAAATTATATTGTCTCTGAAATTGTTTTCCCCCAACATTTTTGTATGAATGTTAGAAATATTATGAGCCATTTAACTGAGTGTGTGATTTATTGGGCAATGAAATGATTACATTTGATGGCAAGTAGAAACAAGAGCAGAATTTTATGGACCTGATTCATTCTTTTTATATGAAAATCAAACTAATTTTACTTTTCTTTTTTTCTTCACTGGAACATAAAACCATCAAATCAAGATGTAATGGTGACACTTGAAGGATCTTTGAGAGGACGAATACAGCTCAATGAAGAAAGTTCAAAACCCTTAGTATGCAAGATGCCTTCTAAGTCTCTGTCTTCTTCTTGCTCTCTGAAATGTAGAAAAGAAATGACATTAATAAAACAAAATTTTAGCAATATTATAATTATTTACTTTACTTTCATTTTAAATATCACTCACACATTCATATTTGTTTTTTTCCTAGTATAGTAACCTAACAATCTCAAGGATAAAACAACTTAATATTCTGTTTTATGTGGTTTGTAAAATAAAGAGAGCTATTTATAATACTTGTAAAAACAAATAAAAATAAAAACAAAGCTATACTTAAAAATACAAGAATCACTTTAAAGCTTTAGAGGTTTTAATACCAGAAACAGATTAATTGTAGTTGATAAAATATAAATATAACTATGTAAAATTATAGCAAATATATAATAAAGACATTTTACATAGAATTATCAACTTATATTCAAATAATTTATACATCACCTTTTCTATTTGTACAAACAAAAAAAGTTATTAAGATAAAAAGGTACATAATAGAAAGATTGTCATTGGGAAGAAGTATAAATAATTAATTCCAGACATTCAGTCAAACCAATTTTTAGGAAGTTAGGGCCAGTCTTTTAGAAAATCAGGAAATGCATGAGGGACAAAATGGTTCACTTTTTAAATTCAACAAAATAAAAGTGTCAGCCATGTATTTTTACCATTTGAAGGACTGTTATTCATAAACCATATTTTTCTCTTTCAAAGGTTCTACATTGCCATTATATAATTTGCTATAAAGTAGTAGTAGTTCACTTTGTCTACTTAAATCTTACTTATTGTTGATTAGATAATTCTTCCACAAAGATGGATTTCCTTCCAAAGTTAACAAAACTATTACTATTAAATAGTTAAACCAGAGACTTGTTTGGCTATTCAGTTCAATACTTTCAATTTTGAGTACATATCTAGAAAAGTGGATTTATTGACATAACAAATTTTTCTTCAAATATTTGAAAACATAATTACCAACTAAGAATATGCTATCTACAAAACTTTTAAAATAAATGTTGTATAATTTTGTAAACATTTTGTTATTCGAGTCGGTTTAAAAACATAAAAGTACCAGCAGTTTCATGAGTTCAGTGGTATAGTAAATGTGAGTTCATTTTGTTTTATTCCATATCATTAATTTATTGATCAATATGTCCATAGTTTGACATGTAGTTATTAGCTGATCATTAACCTGAAAATTTCTCTGTATAAAGTTTAATTTATGTGAATAATATTTACCACTGTATTAAATGCATTGATCAGAAAGATTATAGTGAAAAATATTTGGGTTGTCATCATTAGGCTGTGAATTTATTGATATAAATTTAACATAACCTTCCTTGTTAATGTACTTAATAGTAAAAATTACATAGGTCAAACATGATACAGGTAAAATTTCAGACTGCATTAGGCTAGACATCCTCAGATATGTAAATAAGAATACAACTTGAAATGAGAAATCTGAATTTCCAATGTTGAGGCTATCTCAAGCTTATTGAAAAAATATATTATTCTTATAAAAGCTTCTAATTTTCAAAAAGGTTACTTAACGTGCTAGAATAATGCAGGGTGCAGCATAAATACCTCCCACATAATGGTAAAACATTAGTGGCAATCGTGTCTTCATCTAGCTAATGTCTTACCATTATCTGAGAGGTATATGTGGAGGGATTTCTGCTGCACAATGTATTATGTGAAAAAAATAACAGAATAGAATTGCCTCCATGACAAAGATCATTTCAGCTTTACTATGAAAACTGTAAAATGCATTAAAAAAAAAAAAAATTGCATCTAAGATTTTAAAAAAAAACTTTCTTTCTTCAAAGCAAGAACAAGAAACTAAAGAGAAAAGACTAATGTAGAATGTACAAATTGTGTTGTCACTAAATCAAATAACCATTATAATAGAACAAAATAATTGTGTAGACATTAAATTGTTTATAAGATTGCTAGTTTGTATGATAAGAGTGGAAAAAAATAAGAAGAGTTCTTACATTATCAAAATTATATTATAAAATTAATCAAAGGAAAACAGAAATTTAAGACTTTTTTGACATAAAAAGAGCTAATAATAACAACAGCTTAAATGGTTAAAGCACTATCTTGTGAATTTGGTGGTATAGTAAATGTGAGTTCAATCCCTGGGCCAAGCAGTACAGACTGACTGAGTGGAAATGGGATGAGTAATAACTGAGCAGTATTAAAAAGCGAAAAATGAGTTATCCCTCGACATGAACAGCAGAACAAAAAACATTCTACCCACTATAGATTAAATAAAAGGTTCAGTTCAAAATTCTTTGATGTTTACCTGGATCAACAGACACCTAAAAATAGCTGGAGGGCACAAAAGCCAAAACATTATGATGATGATAATAATAAAGATGAAGACATTAGTCTGACTGTAAATAATGTAATTGATAATATTTGCAACAATGGATGTTTAATTCCATAGCTGTAAAGAATCAATGAAATCACAAAGTTGCTGCTTTATTTTTATTGTTATCTCCTTTTGAACTCTATATTTCCTTATTTACTTATATTAATAGAAAACATAAATAAACCTATTCAACCTTCATATTTCTATTCCATACATTTGAACTTAAGTTGAAACTACAAGAGTCAATATTCTCCATGGAGGTCATATCATTTATACTGATTGATGTTGCATATACTAACAGGATCTCTTCTGATTTAATTAAAAAGAAAATTTATTATATATGTCCAATTATTCAACACTTATCTAGAATCATTTTTCTTCTTTCTAAGAATTTATTTAGGTGAATTTATTATTATTACTATTATTATTATAACTAGAAATTATATTTTCTACATTTTTAAGGGATTTTAGGTTCTTTAGGGAAATTATAAATATTAAGCTACTAATTAGATGAATTTCTTTTAAAATTTTTGAAGCTTACCACGGTAATGATATATAAATGACATCTGTATTATATCATATCAAATTTTATTATAGAAGTTAATGATTTCCTAATAAAATTGGTATTGACCAACCAATGTAGATAAAAAATTCAGGAGACATTTATATGATAAATATACCATGTAAATTTCAGTTTGTCTTTTAGTACAAATATTTACAACAGAAAAAGTTCAGAAGAAGCTCTACTCTATGGAGAAATATCTGTTAAGTCAAGCATGATACAGAGGAGAACATGACTAAGAACACTGTGTATTTCATTCATTGCAGTTGTGGCAAAGAATATATAGGTGAAACAAACCACCCACTAAATGTAAGGCTAGAGGAATATTGAAAAGTTGTAGCGAGGTGAGAGACAATGAAATCAGACATGGTTGATTATGTATGGAAGGAAAAGTGTAGTCATCAGCTCCTGTGGAATGAACTGAAAATACTGGACAAGAACACTGGAGATTTAGACATCTGAAAGAATCAGTGCCTATGCTAGGCTATGAGAATCTCTTTAGAAGGCCTAGCATACAAATACAATATGAGAGCAGTTATTAAAGAACGAGACTTGATAGTAACTGTAACAAAAGAAAAGCTTCAGTGAGTGCAGTCAAGCATGACAAGCAGCACTCATCAGAAAACAGGTTAGGTTTAAGATTCCAAGTTTTCTATAGAGAATTGTCCCAGGGGACAATAGCATAGGGGATTAAAGTCACCAAATTCATGAATGTTGGTTTATGAATTTGGTGACATAGTAATTGTGAGTTCAATCTGGGTTGGGTAATGTGTACTTGGACTCAGTAGAAACAGGCCAAGCAATAACTGAGCAGTACTAAAAATAAGTACTAGGGGTACCTCGAGGTGGTATAATGGTTAGCAAGCTTGTCTTGCTAGAACATTTATCATTGAATAGTGACTTTGATCCTCACTGGGTGCCCCATACTTTCGGCCTTGTGCCACATCTAAGCTATGCTTGGAAAATAAGTACTAGATGATATATCCCTAAACATGAGCAGTGGAATGAGAACACTCTACTCTCATAGATTAAATAATAGATTCAAAATATGAAGGCCAGAAGGCACAATGACTAGAATGTTGTGATAATAATGTCAAAAATGAGGACAATAGTCAGCATGTAAGTAGTGTAAATAGCTTATTTGGTGGTGAGAAACTGTATTATGCAACTTGAGAGTTGTTCATCATATTGTAAATAAATTTATGACAATACAGAAATTAAAAATTTCCTTTTTAATTTCAGATTTATAAAGATTGGCATGGATCATAAGAAAGTAATCAGCACATATCTATCTTTTTTTCTTTTAAGGTTATATATTCATGTTTTTGCCTTGATTAACAATAATTCCTTAAAAAATGCCTTCAAAATATTTGGCCAGAAAGTTTTGAACATTTGGAATTATCAGGAATGCTACAAATGTTGAAGCAATGAAAAGGTTAACTCCTTTTGCTTTTCTTATTTTGGAAGGTCAAGTTGGGGAGATTGTGTTGGAGGTGAAAATGGATTTGAATGAAGAAGATGGAATTGGTGGGAGAAAGACTTTATAATAAATTAGACACCTTGTTTAAAAACAAGAACCCATTTGCATTTATGACTTTTGAGAAATAGCAAAGACCTGCAAATGTGTCAGTCCATGTCTGCTTAATTGAACTTAACCATCTTGTAGAAAATAATCAACATATAAAATTACCAGAACCTGTACAAACATACAGAGCCATGAAAAGTTCTAATTTAAAAACTATATATAAAAAATTTGTTAGAACTACAGTGAATGAGTTATATCCTAAAGCTATGTAAAAACAACTTAAGACCATGAGAGAGTAATTCTAGTGTCACTATCATTGATAATAGTTTCAGTATTTCAGATTAAAAGATCTAGATATAGCCTTCAGTCAAAAAGGAAATATTTGAAAACTGATGCAGAGCCAGAAAAAGTTTATTTTAGTCAGTGGTTAAACAAACAGCCTTTTTAATAGAAAAGGTAGAAATTTGAGGAGAGTGATGACAAAGAGAAGCTTTGGTTATTTTGCTTGAAGTAGATATAATTCTGATAGTAGACCTTTTAAGTGTAATGTCTGTAGATGCACTTTTCAATAGGAGAGTCCC